GGGGGGGGTTGTTTTCAATATGATGAAAACAAGAGTTAACTACAATTGAGAAAATAATTTTGCTCCAAGCTTTAAAAAATGAATATGAAAACTTCAAAATCTTGATACGCCGCATTGGTGCTTTGCTTACCCAATGCAAAAAAAAATGAATCTCGAATTCTTGCTGATTTGAAAATTGCATGAAGATGAACACCATGTAAATAAAATGGCTCACCTCTTGTGAACTGACAAAAATACGGGACAACTCTTTTGACTCCCCTGTATTTTAGGGAGTGACTCTTCTGTTGCGTTTTTAATACATTTTTAAAAATCGGTTCTTTATTTTAAAGTGGAAATATTTGCTGCTGCTATGTTTTGTTACGACTCGTATTATTTCTTTAAATTCTTGTTCATTTTCTTGCAGGAATGTTATATTATCATTCTCTTGCTTTTTCTGGGTTTGCATGAATTAGTAGATTGTCAGTATGAGCACTGTGTATAAGATGTAGGAATTGCAAATTATATTTGCATCAGTGTTGAGCGTCTGTTTTTATGTACCATATTATGGGAAAAGCATTTCTTGGTCTCGTTTGTCAGGGGGTACTGCTTTGGTATACTGGCTTTTGTTTGAGTCAACGGTATTCGTTTGGGTTTTCTTTTTTCTTTCTTGTTAGCTTTTCATCCGTTGCTTTTTCAGAATTATTCAGCTGACTCGTTTCAGAAATGACTTATGTTACTTTTATTGAGCATCTCCGTCGGTCTGCTAGGTTTTCCAGGGGCGAAGCAACGTCTCCTAAATGATATATCCCCTTTTAAGACAAGGTTAACTGTTGTAATGTAGCTTGGGTTGAGACGAAGGTTCTGGGGAATGAAACACGACGACCCGAGTTCCATTCCCGTGTCGAAATAATACTTTTTTTTTATCGGTATCTTTGTTTTTCTGCCGGACGTTGTATCCCTATCAGCCTGAGTTGGCCCCGAGAGGCTATGTTGAAGGGGGCGTATAACTCCTACAAATACATGTTCATTTTAATCAAGGATAGAACTAGCCTGTTTTTCGTGAATAGCGTAACTGGTGTATAATGATTCCGCATATTGCAGCATAGTCTTGAATATTGGTTCTCATTCACATGAAAATAGTCGTTCTTATCAGGCCACCGTTTAACCGCTTTATAGTTTCACATCTCAGGGTCTGCCCATTCGTCCTTTAGTAAGACCATGTGACTTCGGAAAGTACCTCACTAGTTTCTATTTCTTGTCATTAATTACTAGTATACTTGATCAAAGAACTATACTACAATGGTATTCTTCTGTATTGGGTGTTACATTGCAAGCATTCACTGTCTTGTTTGGAAATTACTCATTACTAATGATTGTATTATTTTTTCTGAAAGGAAACCTCAAGACTCACCACGATAAATAAATGTGCTTTGTGTCTCACCTCACATAGTGCTGTTTTGCTAATGGTTTAAGACTGTCCTGTTTTGATCACACACACAAAAAAGTGGCTCGAGGGCGTGTGTCTCTATTGAGTACACGTATAGCATATCATGAAATTAGTCAAGAAGTTGGGGTGAGAGGGGATGGGTCAGGTTTGCTAGGTTGCTCTTAAACCATGGCAACCACTTTATTACTTCACACGGTCACTTACCTAAAAGAAAGTATTCTATTAATCAACATCAATGTGCCAATAACGACTTGATGTAACAGTATTATACCATGTTTCTTTTCTTGGGTATCTAATTTCTCACTTCTCGAGACAGCCAAGTGCGCTTACTAATCCCTTAATAAAAACTGCAGAGCATAATATCTGTCTTAAAATGGCGTAAAATTTGCTCCAGAGGTCATAACTTTGTTTATAATGTTCTATCACAGATGGTCAAAGTTTATGTTGAAATAGACGCCCCTTCAGCTCAGTTGGTATCATGCTGGACAACAGAATGGCCTAGGTTCGAATACTAGACTGTGCGTTCTTAAACACGGGTCGTTTTGTGGACTTTCGACTCATTTGGCTAGGTCCTGTCGGATTTGGACTTAAATCGGAGGCCCTGCCGTTAAATAATTTAATAGTGTTATGAGGGATGTTAAGCCCATACACTTACTTTGTTTCCATTGGAATTAGTAGATCTAGGTGGATATGTTTTAATTGGGGGCAGACTAAGAGCGTCTTTTCTATGGCAGATCAGTACAAGGTATTCAGTATAACATTATTCGAAAGCAAAAGGCGTAATCAGGTGAAACCATCGACACAGAGTCATCTCATCTTTCTTTTCACATTTGTGTGGGATATTGGTGAAATCAGGCGCTCGTCAAAACAATGAAATAATAATAATAATAGTTAAGAAACTGACACGTTTTCGCTCGTTGGGCAATTTTTTTCCGATTTTGTTGTCGTTCCTGTTTTTTGTGGGACTCAATGGTCATTTTACGTCCGTAAAAAATGCATTCCTGCTTGGATTTTAATTTAAAATATTGATCAAAGTTACTAAAGAAAAATGTAAATTTGCAATTTCCAAGGACACCAAAGCTTTGGAAGTCTCCGAACTTTGGCGACCCTTTTCTTGCTTATTTTTGCTCTTACAGCTGGCGACCCCGCCTCCTTCAATTGCAAATGTCTCTCGCGGGTGGTTGGAGGGAGCCACTGGAAGGTCCTACTTCTCCACTTTCCCTCTGTTGTTTCTTAGGTGTCTGTCTGTCTTACCCTTTCCCGCCGCACAAAATGACCATTATTGTGCCGATGTGCTTCTTATGACTCAAATAAACAAACGAACAAGTAAATGTCTCGACTTGCCTTCAAGATAGATAAATAATCTTTTCATGAAAAGCAATACGAGTAAACATGCTTTACAATGATATCAATAACTCTACTTGCCCCATAACACTGATGAGCGCCTGATTCCACCGTCGAGACTCATATTATTTCTTACCAAGTTTTAGATTCCATGCTTCTGGTTTCGTGTTTTCGTCCCTCCCGTTTTGCGCCAATGTTTCACCTTTTTATAAAGGTCAAGCATATTAGTCATGCCCCTTCCCACCCCTACCCTCCCAACCATTTTCCACCCCCCCCCCCCCATTGTTTTTCTCTCCTGTTTATTTTTATTAAGACATGTATTCAGAAGACAAATACATATGTACGTGAAGAATGCAGAAGTGAAGGGCATTTTCGGAAAAGAACTTGTTTTTACTTCTAGATCAAGGTCTATGTGTTCACCATGGTGCAATTTTCCGTTTCAATAATGCATCGCTCATTTTGTTTTAAATTGTACCTCTGGCCTACAGGTTGGGTCAGTAGTTGCAGAATAATTAGGAACAATTTTGATTCCGAAAGAAAAAGAAAGGAGTCTATTTTTAAGTTAAACTCTACTTGAGGGCCAATGAATTAGAACAAAAAGCAACCGAAATTTCGTATGCTTGTCCAATTGATCTAACATTCATAACATAGTATTTTTTTAAAATACTATCATGTACGTTTTTGGTCCACAGAAAAAAATGAACTCATTTTATGGCAGATACACTGGGGATTCTCTGAGCATTGAAGACCACTTATGTGTATTTACATTTTCCATTATACTTTCATCATTTCCTCATATTCTTCATTTTATCGTTGCTCGCTCGGAAAAAAAAGAGTGAAACCAATGATTTTGCATGGGGTCGTGTTAAGCTGTAAGGAACTAGATCTACCTTTTTTTTCGAGACAAGAACAATGTGACAAACATTTTTTTTTGAGATTTGAACTTCTCTTTTTGACTTTGATCGCGTACTGATTCGAACAGCTCGTGTTGAACTATGTGGGAGACTGAATATTCGGTTAACATGTTTAAAGCGCTTTCTAGAAATATTTTATGTCGTAGTTTAACGTGCCATGTAGGCCTAACATAATATATTATAAACTTTGTCTACACCTATTATACCTATCACGTAATAATACTCAACAAATAAAGCTTCTCCAATCTTTGAATTTCTCTGCATGTTCAACCTAAAGCTTCATCAGATATCTTACCAATATAACATAGGAGTTCTTTCATCATCATGTTGTCTAAACATAAAAATACATGTCACGCTGCTTGTCTTAAAAACAAGCGAAGTAATTACTCATGTTAATTGCAGTTAAGCAATATGCGTTATTAGCTTATTCTTTGCAAACTTTCGTTTCAAGATTTTCAGGGCACGTCACGTTTGGTGGATTATTATGCTGTTTCATACTTCAAGATTACAGATGTTCAGTTTTTTAAAGTTACTTTTCTTGCCACACGTACCCCGGCTGCTACCTTTTTCTCCTGCACCTGAATTTCTTTTGTCTTATTAATTATTATACATTATTTATGTTATATTGAAGATGATTTTGTGATTCTGGAACGTCGGATGTGGTCTTTGGGGCTTGGGAATGAACAATTTTCGTGTACGCTTTGATATATATCTGTGATGCAGGTGTCTATCCATCTGTCAATTCATCCTCTATCTATCTGAGCATGATGTCCTTTTAAAACGAAAATTGCAGTTCAATAATTCCGTCACAGAACCTTTTTGTTGATAACCTAGTTTTCATGATAAGTTATCATATTAGTTCATGTATTATTTTTTTTTTTCAGTTTGCTTTTAATAGAGACGTGACGCCTCATGACTTTTTCTCTATGTGTGTTCTTTGTTTGATGTTGTCCCATTCTCCTTGAGTTAGTTATTACAACCTAAAGCTATGTGCACAAAAAGCATCTTCCTGTGTTATCACGTCATCCTAAACGTTTCTCTGTTAGTGGGTGGTTATCTGGTGATCTGGTGTTGTCTGCTCCTTTTTTTCCTATCAAAACCTCTTTCGTCATTATCTCTCCAACTTCTTTTCTTTATGTTTGTTACTCTCTTGTAACACCTCTAGTCGTCGGCACCCATATGACCTTCATGTGTGCAAGTGCCGTAAAACTCTGACTAATACATGTTTTTATATTAAGACTTGGATATATTATTTCAGACGAGGAGATTCCCCCAGATTTCAGAGATATGAAAATCGTGGGCAAACCCATCGTTGTTCAGGATGGTAAGCGTCCGCGATCAAATGCCAGCATCTTAACTGCCTTGTGGGTCCGGTGTTTTCCTATACTTTACCCAAATTCTTTTCAACTCGCGAACTTTGAACTTTAGGGGTGTGTCTCTTATATAACTTGAGGGAATACATCTCTCAAGCTCAAAGTTCTCAAGCTCTGCACTGCATTTCTCACTCTCACAGCCTGTTATGTAGAAACGGCAATAATAATACAAGTCTTAATTCACATTTTGCTTTGCTGAGAGGCTCTGCTGCTTAGGTGTAGTATTTTTGGTGGCTATTCAGCATTTGTTGAGACCTACTTTTTCTGGATTGCTTGATTTAGAGCTTAGAGTGCTGTTTACTCTGTATTGCATTAGTTGTTGTTTTGTTGTTGTCGTTGTTGCTATTTCTCTCACGTCTGTCGTGTACTGGTTTTGTCATTGCTCAATATTTACCGACTCAGTATAACAACCGCAGAACTGACCTGTCACTTTGCAACCTCTTTGTGTTTTGTAATCGGGAAACCCTTTAGCTTCGCAGTGGTTACTTACATCTTTAAAGATATGTATCTTTGTGACATTCCCTGACATAATGTAACAACTGTAGAACTGACCTGTTACTCTGCAACCTCTTGGTGTTTTGTACTCGGGAAACCCTTTAGTTTCTCTGTGGTTACTTATTTTATAAAGACCTGTATCAATGTGACTAATTCGTGCAAAAATATGTTGATATAGCTCCCAGTTTTTAGATTAACCAGTCTTTTTAAAGCTGTGGTTCAGACATGTAAATCTCCACGAAGTGGTGAAGTGTGACAAAACAAAGTGAAGGTTTCGAGCAAGACTAGATCTCACTTTTTGAGTTTCAAATTAAAGTTGGCAAACGTATATCGAACAATGCTGCCGTTACTTTGTATCGGATAATGATTCTAATGGTCAAGTAACACCTTTTGGGGCGTTCCATAAGCTCATTGGGCAAACTTGGCTATGGTTCAAAAGGCCATGATTTGAATCCCAAATGAGTTGGGTTTTTTAAATTGATTTTTTTTTCAAACTAGAGTTGTTTTGGACTTAAGTATTATAGCCCCTCTTCATTTCTTTTCCTCTGTTGTTTCTGTCTGTTGATCTTCCCCCCCCCAGTACCAAATAACTGTTAGTATGTCAATGTGCTTCTTTTTACTCTGACATACGTACGAACATTCTTCATGAAGGAGTTAATTTCTAGAAAGGTGTCATAAGCTACGCAATCCATTTCTTTCTTGATTTTATAATCTTTTCTTTTAAACCCCAGTAATTTTCCTTCTTTCCAAACACCTTTTAGCGTCACAAAGTTACGATTGCCCCCGTGCGAGTAACACAAGTTAAACCAGTACTGTTTTACTTTAAGGTTTTATGGGTCTTTTGTCGTGGCTTCCAACTTTTTTGTGTGGATTGACTTCGTTAAATTTCTAGCTTATATTATATATCATAATAACTAACCTCGCAGTTCTAACGCTCATTCTTTGTACAACTGGCTACGTGTGTATTGGCTGTGGCTAAAGAAATATTGTAAGTGAATTATATACACCTTGTAGTAACATTTTCCGCAGATGAAATAGTTATTCTTAATTCAAACAGCTGCACTATATAGTTTAGCTGTATCATACTAAGCTGTGGTGCGGATGACCCTTGTTCCAATCCCCAAAGGGGCGCTTTAAAAAAAAGTTAAGTCGTTAAGTAAGTTTTCAAGGTTCTGCGCCTACTTTGATCCATCTAATCAAAGATGTATGTTGGATTCACAAGTCGAACCTCTTTAGAAATGGACTTAAAATACATATTTACACGGTGCCACTACGTGGATTTACTTCCACATGATTTACCTAACTGGAATAGGACACGCAATTTAATAGGGTTTTTCCCTCACCTGACGCAACAATGGAGTTTTCAAAATCACCCCTAAGTTTGTTTTAGCTATTCGTGAATTCCAACTGCATGTATGTGTTAACAACCGTTCTCTTGGCCATTGCAGTCAGAAGGTGTGAGTTTGATTCCAGAGTGGTTAGTCTATTTTATCGAGTGTCTTCGACTTTCTATTAGGACACTGCTTTCCACTCAGTCTGGAACGACTATGATAGACTGGTTAGCAACAACCCGTCTCCCAAATTATTTATATATTGTATCGACGGGGACGTAAAGTATTTAAGATGAACATTCGTAGTTTGATAGGCTTGAATTTATCAAAATAATGAAGACAATGTCTGCAGTATCTTACAGGTCGAATCTATTTCATGTAATTTATTCACAAAAATAATTAAACCCGGTACTGCCAGTCGTGGGTGATGGGCGAGCGCTCTGGTGTAGATTGCTCCTTGCTCCTTCTCCCCTATCAAACATCTATCTCTCTTTCTTTTTTGTTTGTTTGTTACTCTTGTAATCTTCGGCACTTATATGTCCCAATTGTAGGCCTATTGCAAGTATCGTAAATTCTAACCAAAAGCAAACAAAAATCCATTGTGTGTAGCGTGTCTGTATGAAGACCTTACCCATGGTGTGAGGAGTACGAGCAGATCACTACTAGCAATAGCCACGTTGTTGCTTGTAACCTCTACTGCTTGTGCGTGTGTCTGTTGTTAGTAATAATTAATTGGTAACATGAGATGAGCCTTTTTTCTAGAGGATATCGGTTATTAGTTCACAAAGTCGCACCGTCCAACTTTACGACTAGAGGCATCAGATTACCGCTGTATTAGGTGGACAGACGTGGACAGGGAGCTTTTGGGCCGGCGTCTGCGGTGTGGTTCTGTGGTTAGGTGCGTCACCATTGCACACAGAAGACATGCGTTCGATCCCGTTTAGGGAGAGTTTTTTAATCGGCGAAAATTTCGGTATGTCTGCTGAGACGTTGTATCCGTCCCAGCCTTGGGGTCGAAACCACCAACCTCCTGAATAATCTAAATTGTGTCAATTAAAGTGTAAAACAGTTACGTTTGAAAACAAGGGTGCTCACTTTCTGATCTCCCTGCTTTTTTGCCCAGTGACCTCGAGGGTTTGTTTTGACTCAATCAGGTCTGGAGACGTATTTGTTGACCATAGTTTGCTTTGGGTTTTTTCTTGTTTTCACTTTAACTGCTGTCCATCTAATATAGCCAGGTGTTTGTCATGTTGGCCTAACTTTCTAGTATTTTTTCTGCTTAAAATAGCACCATAGCATCACGCAAAATCTCTCTTTTTTAATAGGATCTGCACTTGGTAGCTGAGTTTTGCACCGCATAAGTGGAATTGAAATTCTTAATCTTCTAAAATGAAACTTGTTCACATATTTAGGACGATACTAACTCAACTCTAGAGAAGCTTCCTAGTCTTACCTATTTCTCAAGCTTTACCAAATCCATTAAACATATATTATGATTGTACATTTGTAACTATGCTTGTAAAATGTATGCAGTTTTTACGAATACATAAACCTAATGCTAGCAACCTGGACTCTAAGAATTGTGACATCTTTAACTGCAAAATAAAAAGATGTTTCCATTTTGAAAAGATTGTGTTTGTTTAATTATCAATTCTTGGGGATTTTAAAGCTTTCCATTGTTGAGTTATATGTATTACAACTCCACAGTCATATATATCACTCGTAGCCTTGCATAAATCACGACTTTGTTTCCCTCTTCTGTGTCAAGGGATAGATAATTGGGGGGGGGGGGGGGTGTACTAGAAGGTCCTCCTTTTTATTCCTTTGGCTTTTTGTTTGTATTTTGTTGTTTCTGAGGCGGGGAGGTGTATTCAGTGTTGATTTTTCTCCCCGACACTAAATGATCGTCATCAGGTTGATATGATTTTCATCATTTAGAAGAAGAACCAGCCTAGAGGGTGGTCTGGTGTGGTTTGCTTCTTCTTTCCCATCAAACATCTATTGCCCTCTTCTCATTCCTCCTTTTAAACTGGTAGGAGGGATATTGCCTCTGGCAGTTCCTTTAAAAATGGTGTGTGTGTGTGGGGGGGGGGGGGGGGGCACACTCCACTTTCATCTTGCCCTTTTCCCTACACTTTATTCAAAACCAAACTAAACAACACTCGCCTGCTAACTGATCTAGGTTACCTTGACGAAGACTGTAAACACTCGCAATCATCACATTCTAAACGGCAACTATTTTTCTGTGTCCAGATGGTCAGCTTCCCAAAGGCGCCCTGTACCTGGGCACGAAGGAGCATGATGAGGGTGACCAGCGCGTCACAGAGACGTACTACACCACGCCCTCAGAGAAGACGGAGACGACCACACGCGTCACAGAACATCGACCCGTCAAATACGACGGGATCGGCCCTGTGGACAAGGAAGGGGTTCCGTTGGCTTTCAGGAAGGTAGTACATTTTGAAGGAAAAGAATGAGTAAATATTTATTGATGCGTCATTGATAAGTACAGAAAAAAAGAAAGATGATACTGTCTAATGAAGAATCATTGCTAAGTATAGAAGAAAAAAAAGAAGAATATTTAATTGGCAGGCGCTTTGGTGTGGTTTGCTCCTTCCTTCCTATCAAACATCTGTCGTCTGTATCTCTCCTTTCTTCCTTTCTACATGTTACTCTCCGGTAACACCTCGAGTTTTCGGCAATTATATTACCTACCTTTGTGTTACAAGTGCAAAATTAACCAAACTCAAAACGTTTGTATTTTCCAGAACGTTGAAGAGGAGAAACAGCATGACTGGTACAAACAGATGTACAAGAGTCTGCACAAGACGGAGAAGAAAGAAGGTCAGTGTAACACACCAAATGGGTCCCGTCCCGATTTCATTTTTTTTAGTCGTATTAGTTTCTTAATTTTTGTTGTTTTGGCTTTAAGGTAACCCCTGTAAAGTATAGAGACATTTCTTCTTTTCCCTAAAGATTAATTGTATATTATTTATTTTTTGCTTTGTTTGCGTGTATTTTTTTTTACTTTTAGATAGACTCTATCACTTGTATAGTGTTGTTTGGTGTGTTGTGTGTGTGTGTGTGTGTGAGTATGTGTGATTACACATATAGTTGCATCTGTTGCTGTTTTTAAGTGTTGGTGTGTAATCATATTGTTATCGTAAGGAATATTTGAGGTCACAAAGGCACCGTTGTTGTTTGTGATTCCTCACACAGAGTGAAACACTTTTGTGTCAAGTGTGCACCATCGTCACAACTACACGAGTTTCCACACACTTTTTGATCTGCAGGCACCGAGATGTGTGCACTTCGATAATATGTTTAATGTGGATCTGCTTGTGAATGATAGTAAAGTAGTGATTATAAAACTATTGGAAAAAGAAGAACAGTCAATTATTCTATTTACATAACAACACCAGATTCGAATTCGTGAATATCTAGTGCCCCAAATTTATCCAAGAAAAGATTAAGAACGGTTTTGTTGTCCTCAACTGCCATTCTGTAATGTTTCTAATTCTTTATAAACTTTGGGAGGAACTTTCGCTTCTCCCAACATGATCTGTGATTTTCTGGAGTGCATATTATGAATTAATAGAAAACAAGTGAAGGTGTACAAGTTAGTGTGGGTAGGGGGGTGTTCTGGTTGTTATGATACTGGTTCCAAAGATATCTATTCATTATTGCTATAAAAAAAAAGAAAAGAAGAAAAAAAAAAAAAAAAAAAACCAACACCAAAGAGATCACAACTCATTTCTACCTCTACAGATCGTCTGGGAATTAATGCTATGATAGACTCCATTTTCGATGAAGCAGGTGCACTGTCAATGTTTTCTGCTTGCTTATTCCCCTTGCATTTGGTAACCTTGTGTTGAATCCACCTCCTTCACTCCCCTCTCCCAAACCTCCCCTATTTTCTTATGAATCTCTCTCGTTGTGCTGAATAATGACATGAGTCTCTCAACGTGTTGTGAACTACTAAACACATAACAAAAGATGTCATCCGAACTGGTCATCTTGAATGTTTCCATGGTATGCTTACGAGAAGCCACAATACCATCCATACATGTCCACTTTTTGACCCATGAAATGGATTAATGGTGTCAAAAGGGATGCTCTACAATGTGGACGCCCGCCCGCCCCCCCCCCCCTTTTCCCACCCCAGAAGTGGTCAAACTATATAATAACACACAATCGTTCATTTCTTGTTTACAACAATTGTAATGAGAATGCTGCATGCCTTACAAGGGCAGAATATGGATGAATAATGACTATTTACTATGTCTACTACTCAGTTTCTTGTCTTCATGTTCATGAAACGGTTTTGTTATCATTATTTACTTTAGTCTTCTGCTTTGAATTTGAAAACTCGCTTCGATTGTGGGCACTGTTTACAATGCCTGGCAGATAATGAGATAGTTGCTCTCTATATTTCCTTATCTGTTTCACTTTTCTGTGCCTTCCTTTTCTTGGCTCACAAAAAATCCCACCATGTCTAGTCCTTGTTTTGACCGAGCCAGGCTTTATATTGCAGTCTATAAATTACGATTTACCTGGGTGCACTGTCAGCGTAGTTGGTATCATGTTAGACTACGGAGTGGATGACCATGGTTTGAAACCCCGGCAGGGTTGTCCAAATATGAGTTATTTTGGGGAGTTTTTAAGGCGCTCCATACATTTGGCTCGCTCCCATCGAAGATGAACGTTGAATTGGAGGGCCCTGCCTGATAAATAAGTGACATTTGAGTGTTGAAATGGCAGCCTTACAATACCAGTCTTACGATTTGCTCCATTGAAATTCGATGCTTATGTAGGCGTGTAAGGTCCAATTAATGTGCTGGTCCTTCTTGAAATGTGTCCCTGTAATCAGACGGAGATCAAAGTCCTTTGAAATAGACTATAATTATTATGTGTTTTGTGTGTAGTGCGGCATTCATCCAGTGGGTGGTTGGAGGGCGCCACTGGGAAGTTCTACTTCTTTTGTGTCCCTTGTTTGTTTCTGTTCGTCATTCTTGCTTTATTTTGTTTCTGCACGAGATGACTGTCTTCGTGTCGATGTGCTTCTTTTTTACTCAAGCGAACAAACAAACAAATAAACACGCGTGCTCACAAACAAAATTAATTTAGAAAAAGTTTTTTATTTCTGATTTTTGATTTTTTGATCCCTACCCAATTCATCATCAGCATCAGTGCCAAAGGGCAATCACTCTGATGTAGTGTACTACAATTTGTACCCGGAAGGTAAAAGTTCCAGCACCCAAGGGAGCACCACACATTACACTGGTCCACCTGTTTTTGGTCCACTTTGCAATCCCGCACAGTCACAGAATCGATACGTGGGTGGTTGGCGGGTGCTCTGGTGGGGTTTGCTCCTTCTGTCCTATGAAACATCTATCGTTCTTATATCTCCTCCCCCTTTTTTGTGTTTGTTACTCTTGTAAGAGCTCTAATCTTCGGCCTATTGTGTTGAAAATGCCGTAAAAATCTTACTGAAACTAAAGAATTGATACTTGTTATACTTATTGCCAACACGACTGCAGGATCCATTTACTATCTTGTTGAAATCAAAACGGCAATTAATTTTGGTTGATTCTGTGATAGAGTGCAATGATAAAGTGGACCAGAAACGGGTTTTTCCAGTTATGCAACAATACCCTCGACTGTAGCTGACCTATCAACTGCTTTCACTATTGATAATATATTATTACTATTATTATATCATATGGTTATGACCTGAGCTTTTTGTGTGGTTAATTATCGGGAATTTTGTGTAGATTGTGTATGTAGGTTTTGCACCTGATATGTTATTATACATACAATGCTACCGCACTAAAATAGAAAAACCTGACAGGTTTCTTTTTCTGTGGGTTTTCTTACAGATTTTTGTGTGTGTGTGTTTTTAATATTGTCTTTTTTTTATTAGTATGGTATTGCTTTAATTACACGATGATATATATAAATGAACTCTTGGCTTTTGTGTGGATGGACCCGTGAGCTTCTGAATGGAATGTAGTTATACCTTTAAAGAATGAGGATAATAAATGTGTGTGGCATTATGGTGAAATCAGGCGCTAGTCACTATAATGAACTCGAAGAAACCGACATTTTCTCGCGCATTGGACAATTTAAGGGGGTTTTTTTCTTTTAAAAACACATTTCTGTGTAGAATTTTCCTAAAAACCCTGATCAAAGGCACGCAAAAATATTGTTAATTTGCGGTTTCTGAGGACTCTAAAGCTTTGGAAGTTACCAAACTTACACCACCATTTTCTCGCTAATTTTACCTCTGACACAAGGTGACCCCCACGTCCCTCAATTGCAAATATCTCGACTCCTATTCGAGACAGATGGTTTTGTTTTTGTTTTTATATCAAAAGTAAGACAAATGAACAAGATTTAAATTAATAGGCATACCAATAACTCCACATAACCAATAACTCCATGTAGCCAAAAACTGACAAACGCCTGATTCCTCCGTGTCGTGACACATGTGAACATTTCCGTAAAGGGAAGTCTCTTCATGAACACTTATTGGAGGAAAAAAGCATAACTAAGTAGAGAAAGTGTATAGAATCTATGTTAGGATCTATTATTCTTTTTCCTTACTTCACGTGTGCAAAAATTGTCAAGCCTGTCCTAGATTACCATACATTGTCGAAGAGAAAGGTGGTCATATTAGACAGGAGATCCTCTTGGCTAGTCGGGGTGGGTGGGTGTGAACTGTAGGTAGTGGGCGTTTGTACAGGTCGTTAGAGCAAGTTTGACTGTACTTTTTACGTGTTGAAGTGCTTTTGATTTATCCTGTCCCATGAAGACTTGACATGCTTTTTATAACTATTCATATTTCTCCAACCAACTGGTTGAGCTAATGTTTTTCCCTCATGTAATTGATATACTATAATATGAATTTTAACACAAAGCTTTGAATAATCCTAAAATTTCTCTTTGCATTGACAAAAAAACCGAAATGAATGAAAATGTCAACTGATGTTTTTGTCCATATTCAGTGAAAGAACTTGGTAAGATATTTATTGGCCATTCACCTTTGTCCTTTGTTGTTCTTTAACATCATGGGATGCTTTAGCACTGTATTGTGGGGTTCGAAAGCTCATGCGTTTAGAACTAACACTAAAACGAAGACACGACTGCTTTAGTATCATTTACTTCTCTACTAAGTTCACCATACAGCACTGTGGCTCTTTTGATATATTTAAATGATTTATGTAAGTAAATATCCTCCTCTCTGAACATAAGTATCGTAGACACTAACAATAACCTTCACGGATTTTTTTGAATATTTAGCATTAAATGAAGTATTGTAATATTACTTTTTTTTAAAGGCAATGTATTTTCACGTAGTTTACAGAATTAGGGACAGAACTTACTTCAAAATAGTCCTTATCATAATCTACGACCTGAGCGGAGAATAAGAACTTGTGTATTATGTTTAACCTTGTGACAAAAGAGAGGAATTTGAATGAGACATAGTTTTTTTTGTAAAACTATACTTTTCAAGCACGCATTCTCTTAAATAAAAGTGAAACTATGACATCATAACCCAAAATACTAACAACGCGATAGTGATATTGCGTCATGGCATGAGTGTAACATAATATTAAACCCCCAAAAATGTTTATGACCTATGTTTCTAACTTGTCAGTCTCTCGGTTGATGTTTCTTTGTTGATATGGGGTACTGTTACTCTCCAAACAAGAAACTCTTGTATGTATACCTGTACAGTTGATACCATTTCTTTAGTCTCATAAAAAGTGTTCTGGAGACTGGCTACCTATTGCAGTTAATACTTTTACAAACTTCACAAGCAAAGCTCATATAAAAGCAAAATGTTGTAGCGAAATCTTCAATTATAAATGAGTATTGTCTGGTTTAAAAAAAGTACGGACATCCAATAGCACACACACACACACACACACACACACACACACACACACACACACACACACACGCACACACACACACAAACACACACACACACACACACACACACACACACACTCTCTCTCTCTCTCTCTCTCTCTCTCTCTCCCTCTCTCTCTCACACACACACACACGAATACACACACAAATGCACACACACACACACACACACACACACACACACACACACACACACACACACACACACAAACATACACACAACTTGCATGAAAAGCTCACTCTTCTTTTGTAAAGGAATGATATATTATACAGTTTGGAATAGGAATAGCTGTCACGAAATTATTTTGTTATATTTTTTTCAGGGCCAAATTTAGAATCTTGCTTAATAGCCTAATAGTTTCAACAAAAGATGGAAAATACATGTTACTTTGTTGTGATAGTAAAGTATAGGCAGTCGTCCGTTCTTATTGATGAAGATCCAGCGCATTCATAATGAAGTATATTTCGAAACTTATTGAATGCTTTGGGTGACCTTTGCGCAAGTTTTACACGTTTTAGTGCAGTGTTGCGTTCATTCTGCACTTTTTTTTACATTTGCAATTCTATTTACGCCTATAGAAACTCCTGCAGCTTCTTTTACCTGGATCTTACATTTTGAGCAACACTGAATATCCTTCCATGTTTTTTATGGCTTGTTTTTTTTATGTAAAAGAATTAGTCATTCTGATATGTATTTTTGAAATTTAAAAAATTACCCGTAACTGATGACTGTAACTGATATTAACTTTTCAAAGAGTTGTAACATCATGTGATAGTATCCCACTTACGTAGACCCCACTGGTGTGCAAAGTCAGCCAGGTTCAAATCCCTAATGGGTCACAATAAAAATGTTTGTGATATTCTGGACATATTTTTCTTTTTATGTCAGGGGGCGTTTCTGTCAAATAACATTACTGTTTCGGAAGAGATGTGAAACCCGAAAATGTACCTGGTTATATCATGGGGGTCTTTGCAGCTAAGTTTTCTTAGACGTATCATATTAATGTGAATAGGAAAGGTTTTCATGTCTTCTTTCTAGACTTCTATATTCCAACGTGCTTCAAACGATCTTTAATTCGAAAGCTTACGCAATGTAAATGGTGACAGAGACAGGTTTTTTTCCCTACTCGTTGTAGAAATCGCTGTTTGCTCTGTGTCTGGGCACTGTTGTTTTGTCTGTGGACTGATCAGCTTTGGTGGCTTTTGCTGTATAAACAAGCTACACTGAAAACAAAAAGACTGCACATATACTTATCCTAATCCCTTGTCCTGTAAATGGTGATGGAAAACGCCAGCTTGTTCTTCTTTAAGTTAAAAGCGCCTTATTGGTATCTGCGAGACCTTATTTAGGTATATTTATTTAAGAAATGTGTCAAGTCATGCAGACATATAACATTCTATTGAGAAATTTAAATTTGGGCTCATGAAGCGATATAAAGGCGGTGTTTTAAGAGTGAGTTGAAGTTATGATACAAAGTAAAACATAAGAATGATTAGGTCGTTTATTAATTCTAATCTGAAATGGGCCTGGCTTGCGAACTAAGGCAATGATAATAATAGTGGCCTACTGTGATGAGCAGAAAAACTGCATTTACTGTTACTATGCATGGTAGTTTTCTCCATGATATCGTATGTTCAATCTAGCCACAAAATAAAAGTATTTTCATTTACTTTGTGCAACAATGCATTAAATAATTATCATTGTTTAACTTTCTTTTTAAAAAAAAGGTCATAATTGCATTGTACAATCACGATGGTAGTATAACTTTTTCATTTAATCCTCATGCTTTCATATGAGCTAAGGTTCTCAAAATGTTTGGGTTAATACTTCGATAACATAGCCTATTAATTATGTCTTCCATGACTACATAGTCATTATTTTTACCATGTTTTTCCAATATATTTCTGTATTTTCTGCTTGTCTACTATTCCTTCTTCCCCAATGCATCCATCTAAAGTTAAACTGCCCTCCCTTCTCCCCACCCTCCCCCTCCTAAAAAAAGAAACAAGAAAAAAAACCCAAACCCCAAACACCGTCCTTTCCTCAAAATCCTTCTCTGTCCACCCCATAGATGTACACTTTAAAAGGAGGTAACTCTATGGTCCACCCCTCTTTCCCATTCTCCTGTATCCCCGGATTGTTTCCTGTTCTCACACTCCTCTGTCTGAATGTCTCCACCCATAACTCTTTGTTCTGGTACCACTGTTGTGGACATAACGATAGCTCAGTTAGCATCTTGTTGGGCAAACGATGTGGATGCTGTTGATTCGAATCTCCGGCTGGTCGTTCTAGAAGTTAGGGTTGTTTGGGGGAGTTTTGGGGGCTTTTTGCCCCCTTGAACTTATTCCTATCTTATATAATGGAAGTTCAAAGGGGAGGTACTGCCTAGTGTTTATCGGGGCTTTGGACCTATAGCATAATAAATTATACTATTGTCTTGCCTCACCCTGCCTTTTTGTCTGTCGTAGAAGTCCACATTAACGTCCTAAGGTTGTCTGATTTCAAGTAAAGGCACAGTAACTGAAGTGTATTCTAAAAGGCAGGCTCTGACCTCCCCTCTCCCACCGCCCTTCCGTCAGCAAAGAGAGAGGGATAAATGGTGCATTTTCATTTGGTAAACAAAATGTCCTCTCAGTGGATTAAGAACAGCAGAGTTTTACACAAACATATTGGTAATTTTTTTTTATACTTCATTTGTTTGGGTTTTTTTCTTGGGGGGGGGGGAGTATTTTTGTTTAGACTTGTTTTTGATTTTACATATTCTGCTTTAGTTGTCTCCTTATGTCGTTAACAGCTTCTCATGGAGCAAAAGATAGCTTATCATAAGGTGCTCTCAGAACTGCGACATTATCAATCCAATGTATATGAAAGCTATTTTTAGAAAATTGATGTAAATCAGATTAAGTTGTTTATGTTCTGCTGACTCATACAAATATTGATCTGTCTATGTTTTCAGAGACGAATACATATAAGCCAACATACAGCTTCCCAGATGACATATCAGATACCAAATCGGAAGAGGGCCTAGGTATGTTGTTGTCTCATTGGTGAAAATAAATGTGTCACGACGTGGTGAAGTCAGGCGTGCCTCACAAATGTAGATTGTGGGTGGTTGGAGGGCACTATTGGTAGTTCCTACTTCTTCTCTTTCCTTCTGTCATTTCTGCTTGTCTGTCTAACCTACATGACCATTATTGTTTCAATGTGTACAAGGGTCTTTAGAGATGCAGGGATGCATACAAATCGCTTTGGCACTGGGTTTTTTTTTCTTTCAACTGCAGTTGTATCATCGTCTTTTTTAGCATACGTGTAGCCTAATAAATAATATAAATCTTAGCATGATAAATATAAATAAAGATGCATAGACTTGTTTAAAAAGCTGATGATTTTATATATAGCACTAAATGATTTTCTTACTTCCATGCTCTTTGTTCACAGATGACAGGCCATACAGACCTAGCTATGGAAGATCTTCTTCCAGGTCAAAGGGTAGGTTTCACATTGTGGGTGGTTGGATGGCACCACTGCTACATATTTTTTCTTTCCTTTCCCACTGTTGTTTCTGAGTTTCTGTCCATTTACCTTGCTTTTACCCAGAACGAAACGGTCATTATTGTGTCAATGTGCTCATTATTGTGTCAATGTGCTCCTTTTTACCACCCACTCCACCCCAAAAAAGAAAACAAAAGAACAAAACAAGCAAACAACCCCCCCCCCCACAAAAAAACAAACAAAGAAAAACAAAAAAGAAAAAGGAACAGACAAACAGGATGTTACATCGTCACCACTGAAGACGAATTGTCTAACTCAGTTTGGCTAAAATGATTGCTTAGCTAAGACAAAAATAAACTCTTTGAGTTGAGCAGAAAGACTTAACTCCATTAAAAGCAACCGTGCATGTATGTGATTGTGGCATTTCTAAATCTTTATCGCTCTAAGTTAAAGTTTACGGCACAGGAGCAAAGGGGGGGGGGGGAGCCTTAAAAAAATGAATGTCAAAATCTGAAAAGTTTTGTTTGTGTTGAAAGAAAAAAGGCCTACCATCTGTGTTGACATTCCATGCACAGAGCCCAGTCTTGTCTTCCTTCCTTGTTCTCTCTCTCTGACAGTGTTCTCCTCACTTCGAAGTGACCAGTGTCTATGATAGAGAGGTTAGGCGCTTCATTGTCGCAGGAAACCTGAGTTCGATTCTCATGTGGGGAGTATTTCTGGTCTAGTATCTCGGCCTTTTCCTCATGAATCTTGTGGCGCAAGAGGACAGAAAAAGTAAAAGTAGAATGGTGTAGGTCTTTCCACGGGACATTGCATCCCCCCCTCAGCCCAAATTGGCCCCGACAGGCATGATCTAAATTGTGTTGATAGAGGTTTGAAAGACATGTCATTGATTTTGTAAAAAATTTTGTAATGTCCTCTGTGTCGTTTAGGGCTCAACAAACAAACTGTTAACTGTGTTCTTTTGCTGACTGGAATGCGCCTTTTGGCTAGGTCCTGCTTTTCTTTATTTCCCTCTTTTGTTTTACTTTTCCACACCCTAAATGGTGGGTGTTCTGTATTGTGCCTGTTTTTACTCAAATGGTGGCCGGCAGGTACTCTAATGTGGTTTGCTCCTTCCCTTCTTTCCTGTCAAATGTCTGTCATCCTTTGCCGTCCTTCAGTTCTTTGTGTGTTTCACTCTTGTAACACCTCTAATCTTCGGCTGTCATATGACTTCATCATTGTATTGCAAGTGCCATAGAATTCCAAACGAAATGAAAGCTGAAAACTGTTTTTAACTCAGAAAAACTTAAACATTTTGTTCTTTCTGTTCTTCTCAGTGGACGAATCAGGCTACAGATCAGAGCCAGAAGGAAGATACAAGGATCTGTGGAAGTCTCGGAGTAAGAGTACTTCGGAGTCCAACGAGACGCGCAGAAAGTGAGTGAAAGTCTCTTTTTCATCTTTATAACTGGTTTTCTAGGTTGTTGTTAATTAATACCACACTCAGTAAAACTAATGTCAGTGTAATCGGCTAATCTAGATTACTAACTATTCTTGTGATTGTTTGTATAATGATATTGCTGAAAAAAATGAAGAGGTAGATAAAGTAGATTGATTCTCGCTTTTAGCTTATGTCAGATGTTTAAAAAAAATATACTTCTCTTTAAATATCTTAAGTGAATAATATTCCTTCTCCTATAAAATGTCACCAAGGCTTTGCCAGACATAATATGACTAAGACAATCTGATACATTGCCACTTAATCAGACCTACAGTTGAATGAAGTTCTTTTATCAGCCTTGGATAATCAAAATCTTAAGAATTTTTTTTCTCTGGGAATAAGTATTATTTAACTATGAGGACTACCGACGTCTATGGTGTAGCAGTGAAGCATTTCGCAATCCACGGGAAGACCTTGGATCGATTCCATGTGGGAGGTCTGATATCGAGTATCTATGTCTTTCTGCTGGCACATTGTTGTATCCCTGTCCTGACAAACAGGATCAAAGCAAAATTTTATGGATTTGGGCACATAAGCATAATAAACAATTATCATTACAATTACAAGTAAGAGGTAAAAAATGAATTTTAACACTCGAGGACTAAAAGGTGTGACTAGTCAAAATCAGTGTTCTTGAATGATATGGAAGGTATTACAAACAGGGTTGACAAATTTTAATACTAAGCCCATTTCCTATCTCCAAAATAATATTGATATTTTCACATGTTGATTAAAACGGTTCATCTGGAAAGCTCCAACTTCACTTGGAAGTATAATTACAGAGTGCATGGTGTAATAACTGTTGTTGTCTGTAGTGTAGTCCACAATAATAACTATGGTGTTGTTGGTATCATAATTTAATGTTCTAATGAAGCTTAATTCCTTTTCATCATCATGTATTCCCACTAACTTAGTTTTATGACTGAAAAGAATGGACGATTATTGGGGTCTCTGTGTTAACTCTGGTATAAACATGATGGGAGGGAGAGAGAGATGTCTTTGCTGTTCTCAGACACAATGCAGAAATGTTACATCATATGGTTGTGTATTTGTTTCCTTCTTCACCACCACTAAACACAATTTCTGTTGTGTCGGTACGCTTCTCATTAACCCAACTCAAACAAATAAACATGTTGTTGTTGTTGTGGTTGTTGTTGTTGTTGTTATTGTTGCTACTGCTGTTGCTGCTGCTGCTGCTGTTGTTGTTGTTGTTGTTTTTGTTGCCGGTGTTGGTCTTATTTCTTCTTCTTCTTCTTCTTCTTCTTCTTCTTCTTCTTCTTCTTCTTCTTCTTCTTCTTCTTCTTCTTCTTCTTCTTCTTCTTCTTCTTCTTCTTCTCCTTCTCCTTCTCCTTCTCCTTCTCCTTCTCCTTCTCCTTCTCCTGCTCGTTCTCCTCCTCCTGCTCCTGCTCCTCCTCCTCCTCCTCCTCCTCCTCCTCCTCCTCCTCCTCCTCCTCCTCCTCCTCCTCCTCCTCCTCCTCCTCCTCCTCCCCCTCCTCCTCCTCCCCCTCCCCTCCCCCTCCCCCTTCCCCCCTCTTCCTCCTCCTCCTCCTCCTGCCGTGTGATTGTTGCGTTGCTGCAATCGTTGGTCTCTGTGAGTTTTATCTTACGGCTTGTGAGTTTGTTTTTATGTTCGTTTCTTTGTTGTTGGTTTTTTTTTCAAATTTGAAATTGGAGGCTTGTAGGACTCATTGAAGCCCACTGCAACAACGTGTATGCTTTTGCCATATACATGTATCATTTTAATCCACTCTTGTAGCTCTGATCCTGATGCGCCCAGGTAGTATGTTGCAAAGACTGTGCATCATTCTAAATGCGTGTTGCATGGTCTGTGGGAGACCTTCATCACTTTGCCTTTTTTTTTTTCGCTAGATGTCAAATGTGGCAGGTTTTATTTTTTGTTTTGAAATTCAATTTTACTTCGTTAAAAGATCAGCATGTCAAAGCTGCAGGTATTTCATTGAATTTGAGGCACATAGTTGTAGATATTTCTTTGAATTCGAAGCATATAGCCGTGCACTTTTTTTCATTGAATTTCTGGCACATACTTGTTGCTATTTCACTGAATTTGAGGCATCTCATTTCGTCTCCATACTATTTTTTTTCCTTGCTTTTCTCCTCATATTAAGTCCTATGTCATTTCATGAGGTTTACAATCCTTTACTTTGGAACAATTCGTTATCAGTTACTAACCTAGCGTCTGGGGTGTAACGGTTAGGTGCTTCATTTTCCTGTCGCAAATAGGAGAGCCGAGTTCAATTCCCAAGTGGAGAGACTTTTTATCGGGTGTCTCGGATGACTGTTGTATCGCTGTCAGCCTGGGTTGGCACTGGCACAGGGAGGGTCGAAGGCAGCCTCTTGAAATGATCTGAATTGTGTAGCTGGGGATTTTTAAACACGTATAAATAAAACAAATATTTGAATTAGGACCGGGAGAAACAAAGCTTTGATTTCGAAGGAACTCGATCGGACGTGAATTTTAAGTATTATCTCTAGGGAGCTCGCATGGCGCTGGTTGTATATCAGGCTGGACTTCAAGTTGGATGGCCCTGCATGGAACCAATTCTCAAAAAGACATTCTTTCTTTTAAATTTAGCTGTTTTTGGGTTGTTGGTTAATTTTATATATAAAAGGGGGAGGGTGGTAGTTATTGTGGTTCCCCACAATCTAGGTTCAGTCATCTCGGAAATAAACTTTAAAATCGCACGACGTGCTTCCTGTAGAATAACCTTGCTGTATCTAAAATTCCTTTAAAACAATGTCGTGCAATATTACAACTTCAATATTAGCGTTAGTGATGTTAAGATATCCAAAATAAAAGCGTTGCGTTTCGGGAGATTTGGAAAGGGGGGGGGGGGTAAATCTAAAAGCAGGTCATCCTTCATAAGCTGAAAACTTTTTTTTTCTAAGTTTTGTGCACGTCAGTCAACTTTGTTGATTTTCCGCAGGCTTTAAATCTTAGCCGTGACATGTTTATTTTGCTTAAATTTCACTATGGCTTTCTGTCTTGCAAGCATGTTGCACTCAGTTATTTGAAGGTTCAAAAAGTGTTATCTGATTCTCTGTCTCACGTTTTCTGCTTTGGGTATTACTGAGGATGCAAAATATGCCCGCCTTGATCGTGTGATTGAAGTTCTGGACTCTGACCTAAACGATTGGATGGAAGAGCTGAAGTGTTTAGGGGTTTTGTTATAATTTTTTTTTACGCACGGTGGCCTGCGAGCTGTTTGGGGACCCCTGGTCAGGAATGTAGTAGCCATGGAGAGCCAGTTATGGTCAGGATGCCCGTCTGAAATACTTTTGTCGCGATTTTCTTTATCTCAGAATATTTCTTCTTCTTCTTCTTCTTCTTCTTCTTCTTCTTCTTCTTCTTCTTCTTCTTCTTCTTCGTGTGATCTGTGTCTTAGTGCGCCAGGGCGAGGGGTGATCCTCCATGCACTATAGTCACAGCTTCATCCTCGTGCCCGCTACTGCCCATCTTGCTCCTCGATCACTCCATCGCCTCGAAGTAACCTAAATTTTTGGTCTTCGTCCACGTCCTCCTCGACTCCTCTTCCTCCTCTTCCTCGCCATCCTCCTCTTCCTCCTCCTCCTCCTCCTCCTCCTCCTCCTCTCTCCCCTTACCCTAGCCCATCCGGCCACAACTGCCACTTATTAAACCAACTACAGCTGGACACCCCCCCCCCCACACACACACACTTTCACCTCCCTCCAAACCCACCTACCCGAGCCTAGCCTATCCCCTGTTGATCAAATGCTGCCCTATCTAGAAATAAATTTTGCTCCCACCCCCAAAAACGACAATAAAATATACAAACATAATTCAAAGCTCATTGCTGTGCTCCCCCACTCAATCTTTTCTTTTTGTTTCCTTGGTCTTACCCGTTTGCCGGGTTCATTATTCGAAGAAGCCAGATGCTGAGAGCAACGATAACGATGTACCATTTAATGAGATACCCAGCAATAACCCCTTTAGAATAGAATTTTGCAATCTTTTTAAGGCTCAGTCCTTGTTAGATGATAACGATGATGATGATGATGATGATGATGATGATGATGATGATGATGATGATGATGATGATGATGATGCTGTACTTTTTGTAGAAATTTTCTTGAACTAACGGCCTGAAAGTGACTGCTAATTTAGAGTAAGGGCCTATATAACTAAACCTAGAAACTGAAGCTGGAAATCTATTTTTTTAAAACTTTTAATTGTCTACGAAAAGAAATCAGTGTGACTAAGTACTCGTGCGCCCCCACCCTTACCCTATCCTGCTACCCCCACCACCCCCTCCCACCTACTCCCCCCCCCCCCACGGTCTCCCAGCCATTGCAAGAACGCAACAATTTCGTGTGCACCTTGAAAATTTATCCGGCCAATTCGGTACACATGGTCGACCCTGCTGGCAACCCTTTTCTGCCCAACGTTTGCGGAGTTGCATTATTGTCATATTATTATTATTATTATTATTATTATTATTATTATTATTATTATTATTATTATTATTATTTTCATTTTTTAAAAATCACCACCATCATCATGTTTCTATTTTCCACATAAAATTACATAACACTTCATAGAAAAGAGAAGGAACAAAACGAGCAGCGTATATATCAATTGTGCACAGAACAAATAATCATAATTATGATATTATAAACTCAGTGATTGCTGCAAGTCGATGACACGTCGTCGTTTATTTGGTTATTTATTTATTCATTTATTTGAATTGTTCATTTATTTCATGAATGGATTGTTTTTTGTGTGTAGAATTTTCTTTAATCTCCACATCATGTCTTCATGGGGATAGACAGTATGTAGTGGTGTTTAATAGTTTACAAATAGCTGAGTGTAAAGTCCACTTGTATATTATTATCCATCTTTAAAACCGTCCTTAAAAATTAAATTACGGTAGAGTTAAGACTTTTTGAAGCCTGTGCCATCGTTAATGTTTATTTGTATAAATAATGTATTGTATGTGAATGTGTGTGTGTGTGTGTGTGTGTGTGTGTGTGTGTGTGTGTGTGTGTGTGTGTGTGTGTGTGTGTGTGTGTGTGTGTGCGTGTGTATGAGAGTGAGTGAGTGGCGTTTGTGTGTGTGAGGGGTAATTAACGACTCGACTTTATAATTTTTCGAAGACAGTTTTTACAATAAAACTTAAGACCCATAGCAAGAGCAGCTTTGGTCAGGTTGAGCGTGCGCTCAAGACAAGAAATAAGATTCTGAGACAAAGATATACAAAACGAGAGAGAGAGAGAGAGACAGAGAGAGACAGAGGGGGGGGGGCAGACAAACAGACAGACTGGCAGATAGACAGACAAAGACACACACACAGAGAGAGAGAGAGAGAGAGAGAGAGAGAGAGAGAGAGAGAGAGAGAGAGAGAGAGAGAGAGAAGGAAGACATCTTATTATATCATGGTCATTATGGGTACATGTCTATCTCTTTTTTTGTTTTGTCTCACGATCACATATATATATATTATATATAGATATCTTCGTTTATTTCCTTCAGTCCTTGGGCCCCGGCTAGCGTGCGGTCAAAGATCGAGGTGTACCGATGTCAGCCGAGGAGCATCATGGACTACGAGCCAGGCTTTTCATCCATTTCCTTCCGAGAGTCCAAAACGGTAAGTGTACTTAATTTATTATATTATTTTAATTACTTACGTCTTGAAAGGAAATTTTCCTGTCAATTTACTCACTTTGCGAAATGATTGGAATGTTTATGATTGTTTTGTTGTTGAGTTAGTTTTCCAGGTCCACGTCTGCCACGTTTTGACATTTATTGATTTTTTAAAAACATTTTTTGTTTGTTTCCAGAGACAACGCATTAGGTTTTGGGGTTTTTTTTTCCTTGGAGTTTGTTGTTCCGTTCTTTGAACACGATCTTCTCTGTTTTTTCACTCAATACACTCATGTGCGTGTTCATATATACATATATTCACACACACACACACACACACACACACACACACACACACACACACACACACAAACACACACACACACACAAACACACACACACACAATGTTTTCAAAAGAAATCCAGTTTCTATCACCTTTTTTGTTTCTTTGTTTGTTTGTTCTTGTTTTCTTTTGGCGTGGCATGATCGAGTCGTGGTGTGCATGCAGTACCCTGTCTCTGATAGAGCGGAACCCCCTGATACACTAGACGTCCACGGCTTCTTGTGGTTGGAACCTATCAAAAGAAAATTATTTTCACTTTATTAAGTCCAACGCGCGCCCCAAAGCGATGAGTCATGCGCGTGCACAAACTCACACCGTGGGACAAAGGCCCCTAAAGCTCTGGCTCACTGCTCACCTTTGGATTGATAAAGCTACCGAGCGTGAAAGCTACCAGGTGAAAGCGGAATGTGTGGCGAAGTAAAGAGGCCAGAGCTACTGCGTTCTTTGTACGTCGCTATTGGTTTTCCCTATCAGAGGAGGCTGTGAGGGAGGAGGAAGATGAGAGGGGGCTGGAGGAGGAGGGAGGAGGAGGAGGAGGGAGGGGGGGGGGGGTGAAGGAAAAAAATTAAAGTCAAATTTGTCCAAGACTGCCACTAATTATCGAGGAGAAAAATTCTTGTCTTAGGTAGGTGAATGTCTTGCTTAGTGTCATTATACAAACAATACCCAGGCAAGTGGGACAATGGGAAGCTGTTGTGTGCATGTTATTGCTTTTGACGTTTAGCCGAAAGAGCAGGTTCGACTATATTATTATTTGGATAGTTGTTATTGTTGCTTTGTTCACTATTTACAATTTTTAAAGAACGTTTTATTTTTGCTTTTTGTGTAAGCTGGGAAATCACATCCTTCGAGATCGTTTA